TACTGCTTAACTAACTAGAACTTCTGACACAGGAGTCCTCCTTCCCTAGGAAAGAGCTGCACCATTCACCCTTGCTGTTGAGGAGCAGCTTGGATCACTGCCTTGGAGCGGCAGCCACTGAGCTGTTGAAACCCTGCTCTGTTTGACCTTAAACCCCGGCTCCATTCCCCCTACCTCCTGCTTTTTTGGTAACTTGAGAAATGGCAACACAATGAAAAGCCCAAATAGACATCTTCTGAAAGGATCATATGAGAGGGGGATTTTTCTTTTTCCAAGCAAATATTTGATAACAACATCTTAGAGTAACATGTTTGATGTTACTTTCTCATACTTTGGATAGGATGAAAGTATATGACTCATAGAAATGACTGAGGGAGGACAAGCAAATGAGTCACCTTGCCCATTTGGCTCTTCCAGCAGCAATGCTCCCTGGGATTGGCAGCCCCCAAGGGCTGCTATCTCATACCACCTGCTGCCTTTCCTGGCTGGATGGGAAAGGCGTTTCTCCAAGAGACAGAGGAACTCCAGGGAAATGAGTGAGTCAGACAGTGAGAAGTTCAAGGAGTTGGCCTGAAACTCTTCCAAAAAGCATTTTGTGCTATCAGTTTAGAGGGCTCTTGTACACATTTCATCATATTCAACCCTGGGTATAACCGGACTACAGGCTTATCATCCCTTCAGCACAGACCAACACACACTTCAAAGAGTGACTGTTCTCCTCCCCACGCAAGAGACCTTGATGTACACTTGGATTTGAACATCTTTCCAACAGACACATCTCCGTTCCCCTTATTGTTTTTATTGCTCTTGTGGAATCTTGCCAGCCTGTATCTTTCCAGTACCAGAATGTCCCTCATTAAGCCCACACTTTTGGACCCAGCCTCTGGGAGTTTGGAGAAGAGATGCAGCATCCTTCAACTCACTTGGCCTTGGACTTATTTAAAATGTCCTCTCGTTCAACCAGCATCAGTGAATCACAGAGGAAGCACTCGATCTAGCTCCCTTCAGTAGTTCTCCCACAGTGTATTTGTTGTCTGTGCTTGCTATGCTTTCCCTTGTGTGAAGGTCTGGAGTTTGCATTTCTGCAGCTCTGATCGATCAGCTTTTGCATCTTAGGCAAGTTTATCTTGACCAGGCCATCCCCATTTCTTAGTGATGAATGAAGATTAAGAACTGGGTAAATCAGGTGCATTTGGTGATCTGCAGTTGGTCTCTCTCAGCCCACTTCATCCAACAAAATCCACCTGTCTCCCACCCAAGGTAACTTTATACAAATTTCCTATTTATTTGCTTTAATGAGAGAGTACTACATTCCCCTCCCCTCCCCTGCTCTCTGGGTTCACCAGGACTGCTGCTATCCAATTCTGAATCATCTGTAAATTTCAATAGCAATTTATTCCTCACCTCCAAATCCATAATAAAAAATTTTAAACAAAAATGGTTCCTTCATTGGCTGTTTTCCAAATGTACTTGAAGCTTTTCTTGACAAAATTTATGTAACTTGTACATAACCCACACATGTGAATTGAAAAATTGACAGCAAAGCTGCCTTTATGAGAATATGTTATCCTAGCAGAAACATTGGAATACCTTCAGGCAATTTTAGAAGGTTCTAAAGCTCTCTGTCTCCATAGCGAAAGCTCAAGTTCTGCTCAGTTAGGAAGAAGCGAACAGAAACAAGAAAGCTTCCACATAGTATTGCTGCACTCTGTGCTGATCTCCCTTAACCGTGTTTACATTTGTTTTCTTCACCTTTTTATGCTGTTAAGATGTTTATAGACGGTCTGTTCGATTGTGAACTTGAACATCTAGCCTTCTTTACAGAACAGCATGCAAACTGCTAACACTAAGCACTCAACTATTTATAGGTAGGGTTCCCCCAAAGGAACACAGTGCTTCAATCTGTCTTCTAAAATTCACTTGACCACTGCTCCTTCACATAACTTGACTTAGCAAATTTCATTACCGAACAACTGAGAGAACTACAGGAGCTTTTATGGACCCAGCTTTTGTTTACGGTGATAGTCATGTCTCACTATGACAAGCCTACCCTACCTCTCTCCTCCAAACAGTCAATGACCAGCAACAGTGAAGTGTATGACATTCCTATGAACTGTTCTGCTGCCAATCTAAGGGTCATTCTGTTGGCCTGAGGCCTATTTTTCTGTAAAACACTTTTTTTTGTCTGTAAAAAGAATCTTAAACCCATCAACCATGATTAATTCCCAGAAATAAAAAAAAAAAGTTTCCACATTCAACAGCATTTCTGATAGAACACCATTCCAATTCACTATATGAATTATGAATGAATAAGTAACCAGGTTAAAAATAGGTCAGTTCATTCATTATTGAACATTGGCTATTTCTCTATAGAGACAGAGCAGTTTGGGCAGACTTGGCAGGTAGTTTTCACTATGATCTAAAACTTAATCTAAGGTCAAGTGTTTGGCCTAACAGGATGGCCATGTCTCATACTTTGGAATGGCTGGGTTTGAAGCCCAGCTATGACTCCTGACTCTGTTTCCTTGCTAATGTAGACTTTGGCAGGTGGCATGCTGACTCGAGCAACTGGGTTCCTGTCACCCACATGGGAGATCTGGATTAAGCTCTCGGAGCCATTGTGGGCATTTGGGGAGTGAATCAGTGAATGGGACGTGAATCTTTTTTTCTCTCTTTCTCTCTCCCTACACACACACACACACACACACACACACACACACACACACGCACATTGCCTCTCAAATAAATTTTTAAACACAAACTTTTAAAAGAGAAAATATATGCTTAACACAGACTGTTAGGAAATTCTCCTTTTATGTGTCATCAGTGTTATTTCATTTGGGTTTCAAGCAGTGAAACTTGAAAAATAACATTATTTCTCCATGCTAAGATGCTAGAAAAAGAGCACTAATATTTTGTGTTCACTCTGAGGTCACACATAAGCTTTCCACACTCAAATTACTTTCAATAATTGAGTATGCTGCTAAAGAAGTCTCCCATCAGAATAAATACTGGCAGCAAAGACTGGGTGTGAGAGTCGTGTCTGCATTTCCCAGCCGTGTCAGGCTTTGCTCCCCATGAGGCTCACATATCAATGGTTGACCTAAAATGCCACCGCTTCTTTTTTCTTTTTTTCTTAAATACATGCTGGTTCAAGCCCTAGCTGCTCCACTTTTTTTTTTTAAGATTTATTTATTTTTATTGCAAAGTCAGATATACAGAGAGGAGGAGAGACAGAGAGGAAGATCTTCCATCCAATGATTCACTCCTCAAGTAGCCACAATGGCCAGAACTGAGCCAATTCGAAGCCAAGAGCCTGGAGCCTCTTCCACGCAGGCACAGGGTCCCAAAGCTTTGGGCCATCCTCGACTGCTTTCCCAGGCCACAGGCAGGGAGCTGGATGGAAAGTGGGGCCACCGGGACGTGAACCGGTGACCAGATGGGACTCTGGCATGTAGGAGGTGAGGACTTGAGCTGCTAGGCTATCACACCAGGCCCCCATCATTTCTTGAATAATCTGAATGGCCATGTCTTAAGTAGAAATTGTAGTGCTTCTTCCCTTTTCCTCTTGCATGCTGGTGCTTCTGACTCCACCTCCACAACTTTTAGCTGCTTGAGATTCCTATTTTTAACATCCATTCCGTTGGAAATACTATGACATTAGAATATTTTAAACATTCCTATTGAAATACCATTTCCTCTTTTAGAAACTTGAATAATTTCTAAATCAGTAAGCCAAGCGTGCATAGCAAATAAGGAAAATCCTTCGGAATGCAATTAAATGACCCCAGCAGTTCATTCTCAGATGGCAGAATTCCTTTCTCAACAGTGAATGTGTCCTTTGGAACACAGCAGGATAAAATCTTCAAAAATAGCAAAGCAACCTTTCTAACAGTAATTAAAAAAAATGAAATAATTTACCAGGCACATATGGATAAAAATGTTAAAAGATTGTGTGCAGGATTAGAAAATAAAGCTTGAAACTTAGTAGTGACATACATTTACACTTAGAAGGAGCACCCAATGGGGCACTAAGAGCTTGCAGCAGTAAAAGTCCTCTTACCACCGTCGCTGTAAGCCAGCCCTTATTACAGTCCCATCTAGCCAGGACACATGACACAGAAGAAAATGTGATACTCAGCAAAAATTGGGGGATGTGAAGTGGATCACAAATTTAAATAAAGGTAGTGGTTGGGGAATAGCTGGATCCAGATTCTTGTCTGCTCTGCAAGAACGAATTAGGACATTGTGTGAGCTGTGCCTGGGGGGCCTCGGGGAGATGATCCCTTTGTATGTTCTAGAGATAGGTTGGCGTTTCATTGAGTACTCACAGAGGGCAGTGCTTGGAGTGCCACCCATTTCCTTGCCCTGCTTTGGAAGTCCTGCAAGTATCATGGTATCAGATACATGATAAAGCAGAGGAGTCAGCCGTGGCAATGGACTCCAACGATATGACAGCTAGCTCCTGGCGATCACAGGAATATAATTGGCTGCCATGTTCGTTATTTTTGGCCAGTGCTAGTGCTGGGTAGTGGTTTCACAGAAACTGTGGTTTTCTACAAACACAACTGGGACAGGGTGAGGAGGGGGTTGTGGGTGGAGTACGTGGGTCCTACGGAAGAATTGATGAGCTCAGCTCCTTCATGTTACCTCCTTGCTTATATGAGAATTATAATAAGAGCTAGGGAGAGTCTAGAAAGTACCCACGTAGCAGGTTCTAAGTATATGCAGAGGCTTCAAAAAGTTCCTGGACACTGCCTTGATAGCAACTGTTTTTTGCATGACAGTGAAATTATCTTTCTATTCCATTTTCCATGATGATGACTATTTTTTGAAAGGATTTCACTTCCTATTTTCGCAGAAGGGAGAAAGAACAACAGCCAGAAAGCACTGACACAGTTTCTACTCCCTAGAGACTTGGGGTAGAGAAGGGGCCATCGAGCATTGCGGCAACACTGCTGTCCATTTCTACAGGGAGTTCGGCTAGCAGTGTGACCACAGGCCTCTCTCTTCATCATGCTGCCCACCTCCTCATTCGCACTGTGCGCAGTTACCTATGAAAACAACACTGGAAGAGTTTGCAAAACGGATGTCGGAGGCTGTCGGGGGACACAGCTGTTCCTGATGCCAGATGCTGCCTGCAGCATGAACTTAGCTCCACTCCACCCTTACCCCGCAGATCTCTGCGACAGCCAGACCCTCGGAAACAACAGGACAATCACATTGTTCCCAGAGGCTCCCTGCGCATGTCCTGAGGTTATCAGATGCTTGTTTTATGGACGTTCCCACTCTGTTTATGCATTCTTTCCTTTATCTTCTATGGGTCGCAAGGGCCCTGTTTCTTCTCATACAAACTCCCACTTTTCCTGCCTTCTTCAGCACACTGAGTCAGAGCTATCCGAACCTGTATTTCCTGAATCGCAACTCTTAAGACCCAATGTGAAGCTCTCTTCATTTTCACAGATCTGAGCTTGGATGAAGACCTTGTTCTCTGCTTCTTAGAGGAAGATGCCTGCTTCCCTAGACTGGGTGTCATGAGAAGCGACCTGCCTCCTCGTCTGTTCAGTGTTAACTTACAGGTAGGAAGAATTGATAACCTAGGTCAAGAAACAATTCATGATAGTCAAAATAGAAGACAATATTGATTCCGAGCTATATTTTGTCTATCATCTCAAAGGATGTTCGGTATATTATAAGAAAGGCCTTATAAAAGAAGCACTGTTCTTTTTTTTAAAAAATTTTTTTTTTAATTGAAAGGCAGGTATACAGAGAAGACAGAGAGGAAGATCTTCTGTCTAATGATTCACTCCCCAAGTGACCACATCAGCCAGAACTGAGCCCATCCGAAGCCAGGAACCAGGAGCCAGGAGTATCTTCTGGGTCTCCTACATAGGTGCAGGGTCCCAAAGTTTTGGGCTGTCCTCCACTGCTTTCCCAGGTCACAAGCAAGGAACTGGATGGGAAGTGGGGCTGCCAGGATTAGAACTGGCACCCATATGAGATCTCAGCATGTGCAAGGTGAGGACTTTAACCACTAGGCTACCATTCCAGGCCCTAGAAGCACTGTCCTTAGAATTCTCTTTTTATTGTTGAGGGAACTGGGACATAGACAAGTTAAATAACTTGCCTAGAGTGACAGAGTTAGCAAAAGTGGAGCTAGCACTTGAATGCAGGTATTTGGTTTCAGAAACATCTTCTGTTAACTGCACTGACCATGCTAGGCAATTTGTGGAAGAAAAAGCAGCATCCACCCCTCTAGTGAAAGTCTTTTGTGAATTGGACTGATCAGGCATTCAGGGAAGGGGTAGCCTTTGGGAGAGCTGCTGAATCATGAAAAGGTTTGGTTTTCAAAGACACTGGGTGCTGATATTGGATAAAACAGTGAAAATTCTAAGTACTGAGGAATTCCCTGGTGAGAGCTCACATGGGAGAAAAGCATGGGCCAAGTAGAAACTGAGTAGCAAGGCAGGTGTTTGTTCTAGTAGCTAAGATGCCAGTTGGGACACACATGTTCCAAGAACCTGACTTGGATTCCCAGCTCTAGCTCCTGACTCCAGGTCCCTGTTGGTGAGCTAGAGTTTGGAAGGCTGTGGCTAATTGAATAGCTCAATTAATCGGGTCCCTGTCACCCACAAGAAAATATGGATTAAATTTCTGACTCATTGCTTCAGCCCAGCCAAACCTTGGCCCTTGTAGGGAATGAACCAGTAGATGAGAGAGTTCTGTCTTTATTTCTCTCCCCAGCTTAATTAAGTTTTAAGTTTTTAAATAACTAATTTTACAAAGAAATAAAATCTTATAAATATGTGTTATTATCAAGATCAAACACATAGGCTTTGGAAGTCAAACAGTTGTAGGCTTTATATTTCCCTTGATTGATTTGATTTTGTTTTTGCATAGTTTTCAGAGGAGGTCTTTAGCTAAGGGAATAAGAAAGCTCATCAGTTAGCTGCCTTGTTTTCAGTTCAAAAAAAAAATACCGGGTAGCCGATCTTGGGTGATGTGGGAAGTAACAGGAACAAGTAAAGGAAGGAATTTGGGTTTTGCTCATGCTTGAACCCGAGGGAGAGAGGAGCACTGGGTTGTAGCAGAGAAGGTGAAAGTGAAAGAATTCCACGGGGAGGGAGACGTCAAGGTGGGGGTGGGGGGGAGATGACAAGGAGGGTCTAATTCATCAATCCCACAGTGGAGTTCGTCCCTGGAGGGCTCACCTGACCCAACCAGGAAGGCAGGCTGTTCCGTTATGCCCCACACTCAGCCCTTCTCCAGAACTGAATTCTACAACAGAGCTGGGGAGTGACACCATCTCCGCTTCTGCGCAAACTCAGCAAGAAAACACAGCCTCCCTACCAACAACTGCCTCATGTTCAGGAAGAACCTCAACTGGGTGGGAGTTCAAGGTGACTTTAAAGTCAGGTGGTAGTAGTTTTCCAAGAGTATTACCATTTTTTCCCCAACAATTCTAGGTTCTTGGCATTTCTCCAGATTTGAAATCAGCTGGTCACTTTCTACATGCACACACACACACACACACACACACACACACACACACACGCACACGCACGCACACACACGCACGCAGTATCAGATTCATTTTTGTAAACATTGTTAGTGTACAAATCTGAACTCAGCAAACTTCTTCTTCACAGAATCTGATAATAAAATTCTTGACATTTTGAAGGTATAAGAAGCTATATACAACACATTCATGAGTGGTCATGGCTGGACTCCAGAAAAATTTTATTTATAAAAGCAGGCAGTGGGCTGGGTTTGTCCCACTAATGTGAATCAGTTGACACCTTCACAATGTAATTGTTCCAACTCATAAATGGGATGTGGTCTTCTTTTTTCAGCTTAAAAGTGTTTTATACAGTGTACATATCTGTACATTTTGGTTAAATGCATAATTGTTCTTATTGAACTCAAATTGCCTTTAAATCAGTGAAGTTACTTTCAGTTAAACCTGTTTGGAGGAGCACAGAATTCACGTTTCCTTATTGTCAAGAACACACAGGATATTATGTTTAGTGGTGGTGTTCAAAAACAGAGCTAGAACAAAATTTAAAAATCTGGACCATTTACTCTGTATAATTGTATTGATATTTCCCTCTTCAATTTAGGGCTTCCAAATGAAATTTTTTTGAGAAAGCAGTTCTAAAGAACAGAAAACACAGAATGAAAATTACCGAGCGTCAGCTGTCTGCGCATGACACTTGGAGCGGAAGAACAGAGGATTAAGCACTCTAAATGGCCTACTAAGTAAGAGATTTGTCATCTTAATTGTATTTTGCTTAGAACAACCTTAAGATGGATGAGCGGGATAGCCAACTACTTCTGCATGGCCAGAAAAGTTAAGTCCGTGACTAAAATACTGTTTCTCGGGTTCCCAAAGTAAAGAGCAAAAAAGAAAAATCCTAAGGAATCCTTGGTTCTGGGTCTCTGCATAGGATCTAGTGGTGAAGAATAGGGGTTTGGAGTTGAAGATTCCCACCCCCATTCCACCCAGACTTCTGTCCTGGCTCAGCCACTTCCTCCCTGTGAGATTTACGCCCCCAATCCCAGGAAGCAGAGAAGACAGTGTAAACAGCGTCATCATCTACTTCTTAAAGTTATGGAGAGAAGTGAACAAGGTGGTTAGAAAGTTCTTCAGAAAGTGTGTGTCACAGTCAGTATTCCATATTAGAGATGATTACAGAGTTCTTAAGATGGAATGGGGGGTGAGGATGATGTTTGTCATAACACTAATATATCCTGCTGCTACTGAAGACCTGAACACATGTAGAAAAAATAAATAAATAAGTAGCCTGAGACATGTCCCGTTGCAGTAGCTGGCTGGGAGTGCTGGGAAGGGTGGAGATGAGACAGATCGGTGCTGTGAAGGAAGCAAAGGATAATCAATTCCTCCTTCCTAGGCTCCAGACTGAGAAAGGAAGGCCCAGGACCGAGCAACCAAGGCCAGGCCCAAGTCTCCTTATGTGCTATAACCATGACAAGAAATACAATCTCCCTCGAGGGCTCTGCTATCCCAGTCCTTGAGATCCTAACTGGACAGCTCTGTGTCTCCTGTCAAGGCCCGAGACGCAAGGCTCTAACAGCTGTTCCTTCCAAACACAGCGCAGTGGGTTTCCCCAAAGCTAGGAATCTCCAGGAAGGAATGATTCACCTGCAGGCAGGCCCATCTGCAAACCATCTTCACCTCCAGGGCCCAACACACTAGCCCTACAGGGTCAATCTGGAAGTTACAGCAAGGCAGTGTGTTGTCAGCAGACTTTTCCTTAACCGGAATGGCAGTGAACAAGACCATGTTGTATGCGGTTAAATTTAGCCCCTCTTCAGATGAGAAATGACCTGCCACCCAACATAAACAATCTTTTGTACAACTACTCTTTAAAATCTATCCACCGAGTTTTATGACTGCTGCATTTTATGCAGAATATTATGAGCAAAAGCATTCACAGGGAAGTCAGGAAAAGAGCAATTGCTTATGAGAAGTAGTGATGAAATTCTTATATAAACCCTGTGTGTGTGTGTGTGTGTGTGTGTGTGGTGGTGGTGGTGGTGGTGTGGTGTCTTTCATTGCCTGCCTTTGCCTACAGTAAGTTCAAGGATTTCCTTAACTCCCATTTCTACCAAAGATGTTCATTACTTCTTCGGGACAGGGAGTTCTTTCCTCTCTAAATCAGGTACTGTTTCAGGCATGATGCATTCCATGTTCTACCTATTTGTATACGTTTTTAAATATATACATATATTTTATTTTATTTTAAATTGTATGATATAATTCCACAGGCTCTGGGATTTCCCTTACCCCTTCCCCAGATTCCCTTGCCCCACTGATTACAACGGTAATAATATAGTGGAAATCCACCATTTCGCCTTTTAAGTGTATCCTGATATTGCCAGTATGGACAATGGCAGACCATCCAGCATCCTATTGTCAAGATGTATTTAACAGTTTCATTGGGAGTCCATCTTTTATTTGGAAGTAGAGATGTATACTGTATTGTATCTTCACATCTGGACATGATAGTCTCTATTACACAGTTACTATATATTTCCTTAAGTGAAAAGCCATAAAACAAAATCAACAGCAGAGTAAAGTTTAAAAATTTACAACAACACAGAGTTAAATAACATGCTACTAAATAATCTGTCAATGAAGAAATGAAAAAGAAAACAAAAAAACCTTCTTGAAGAAAATGATACTAATGTATGATCTATGAGTCAGTGACGAATTTAATAAGAGAAACTATTTTGAAGAAATGAAAATAAAAACAAAAATGTCAAAACCCATGAGTTGCAGCAAGAACAGTATTGAAAGGGCTATTGATATTAAAATTTGCATGAAGGTTGCCTTATGTCAGATAGAATATACGGTATTTGTCCTTTTGGGATTGACTTATTTTACTGAGCATAATGGTCTCTAGTTGCAGCCACTTGGTTGCAAATGGTGGAATTTCGTTCTTTTTCATGGCTGAGTAGTATTTCACAGAGTAGAATACCACCGTTTCTTTATCAGCTTCTCTTTGGACAGGCATCTGGGTTGTTTCCATGTCTTTGCTATTGTAGATTGTGCTGCTGTACATATAGGATTACAGATTCCCTTCTCATATGCAGATTTCATTCCCTTTGGATATATTCGTAGAAGCAGGATATCTGGGTCATATGGCAGGTTTGTTCTCTAAGCACTCTCCATACTGATTTCCATAGTGGTTGTAGTAACCTACGCTCCCCCATCAGTGAAGGAGGGTACCTTTCTCCCCACAGGCATACTAACAAGTGTTGTTAATAGAATTCTTCACACTTGATCTTAGCCAAAAGGCTGGGAAACGATGTTAATAGAGATCTCAACGTAGGCTGGTCTCACTGGAGTTAGGTAGACCCTCAGTGTGATTTTACATTTGTGTCTCGCTGACAGCTCGGGAGCCTAAGCAACAGCATTCTTCTCAGACATACAAAAGAAGATACAAAAGTCCATCTGGAAACATAAGAGACCATGAATAGTCAAAGTTATCCTGAAGAATAAAAATCAAGCTGGAGGAATCGCAATTCCAGACCCCAAGACATACTGCAGAGCAGCGATCATCAAAAGTCTGGTACTGGTACAGAAACAGAGGAGGATCAATGGAACAGAATAGAAACAGCAGAAAGGAGCCCATGCATGTGTAGCCAACTCATCTTTGACCAGAAAACTGAAAACAATCCAACAGAAGAGCCTGGTCTCTCCAACAAATGCTGTTGGGACAATTGGATAGCAGCCTACTGACGTAAGAAACGAGACCTCCACCTGCTACCTTGAACAAAAATCAGCTCTCAATAGATCAAGGACCTAAATCTATACCCAGAAGCCATCAAGCTATTAGAGGAAAACATAGGAAGCCCTCTCCAAGATACAGGCATAGGGAAAGACTTCCTGAAAAAGACATCTAAAACAGAAGTAGTCAAAGTCAAACAAATGGGACTGCATCAGACTAAAAAGCTTGATCAATAAAGTGAAAAAGTGTGACTAAACGCATCATTCAGTAAGGGGGAATTTCGGGCACAAAGGTGATGAGGCTACCATAGCTGCCATGCTGCGTGTAGGGCTTTCTGGAGATGCTCAATGACAACCTTATTTTTCACTACCTCTGTCTCTACCAAATTTATTTAGTGGGATAATTATCTCCTCCTTATGAAGGGCATAAGACATGAAATTATGATTTCATTGCCTGCTTACTCCTACTAGAAGGATGTTCCTAAGCCTGCCCTAAATTTCCAAAGTCTCCATGAAGAAAATTTACTGTCTAGCCCAAGAAACTTCCAAAGGCTTTAGAAATTCGTAGGAAGGTGGACTTCTCCCCACACATCATCCTAACCTGGTTCGTAACATGGATGTGGCTGACTGGTCCCCGAGTCCCTGGGGGCAGGAAGAAGGAAGACTCGAGGGGGACACCAAGTTAGGGACTTGAGGACCTGGTTGCAAGGTGAATGTGTAAGCTTGAGCAACTACACCTCTTCTTCTGCCACTGTAGAGTTATTTCCACTGTCTAGAATTATACGTGCATGCAATATGCACTCTGTTCTTTCTTGCCTAGTTTCATTCTTTCAACATAATCATTGCCGTATATATCCCTGCTATGAAAATCAACAATTCATTCCTTTCTGTTGCTAAATAGGAGAGGAGGTGTTATTGATGGTCAGTCACCCTGAAGTCCCCTTCCTGTTGGCGTGCAAGTCATTCCCCTGTCACCTGAATTTATTCAACACTGATTCACTCACTGCCTCCCACGTAAGTGTCTGCAGCTGTCTTCCTCCTGACACATTCTCTTGTCACCATTTGATCAGCAGTTATAATGCTAGAATGGCTTTCTAGTGGATTGCAAAATATTACGCTCATAAAGGATTAGGTGAGTGAGCGATAGATACTCCTCCAGAGTGTAGCATGAGTTCATTTTCAAGATTTCATCTCAAAAATTCTGATTTTTGGGGCCTGATGCGGTAGCCTAGCAGCTAAAGTCCTCACCTTGCACACGCCAGGATCCCATGTGGGTGTAGGTTCATGTCCTGGCGGCCCCACTTCCCATCCAGCTCCCTGCCTGTGGCCTGGGAAAGCAGTCGAGGATGGCCCAAAGCTTTGGGACCCTGTCCCTGCATGAGAGACCTGGAAGAGGCTCCAGGCTCTTGGCTTCGGATTGGCTCAGTTCTGGCCATTGTGGCTACTTGAGGAGTGAACCATTGGATGGAAGATCTTCCTCTCTGTATATCTGACTTTGCAATAACAATAAAATAAATCTTTAAAAAAGTTCTAATTTTTCTGTATTTTTTTCATAATCCTAAAAATAGATCATTTCTAACATGATGATCTATTGTGTTTTGATATTTGATGATCTATGTGTTTTGATGTTTTTTATTTCAGTTTGTTTCATTCCAAAAAATCTCTTTTCTCTAGTCGAATTCATCATGGGCTCATGAATTATACGATGGCATCATTTTCCCCAAGAGATTTTTGGTGTTTCCTTTTTTCACTCATGTGTTGGTTACTCAGTGGCGCGTTTTTTCATGGTGCTATAATTTGTTGTTGAAGTTGTTGTTGTTGATGTGGCTGTTCTAACTCATACCAGTTGATGACCTTGTTTCATGGCTTCTCACTTATGGTAACGTATAGTGATGGACTACTGGGATATGTCATATACAGACGTGGGGGAATAATGGAACATGCATCCTTGCTTCCAGATGAAAGATGGATTCCCAACGAAACTGTTGGACATGTGTAGACAATGGGATGCTGGACTGTCTGACATTGTCTGTACCAACAATGTCGGGGTACACTTAAATAAGAGACTGATAGAATTATGATTCCTTGTGAAAGACTACACTACTGTAGTAAAATGGGAAAAATCTGACGGGGGAAGGAGTTTGAGGGGAATCCCAGCCTATAGGAATTGTACCACATAATTCAAAATGCAAAATAAAAATATATTAAAAAAAACATGTATTTGTCCCACAGCCTATGAAATTGTACTATAAAATTAAAGATAAAATAATAAGACGTATTTGAAGGGAAGAGGGAGAGAGAGATGCTCCATCTATGTATGCGCTCCGCGTAGTGCTGCTGCAGCCCAGGCTGAGCCAGGTCAGTGCCAGAAGCCTGGGATTCCATCTAGGTCTCCCATGAGATTCAGTGGCCCAAAGACAGGGGCAACCTTCCAATGCTTTTCTAGGCACATTAGAAGGAAGCTAGATGGGAAATGGAGTAGCCAGGACTTTAAAAGATGAGAAGTTAGAGTCACAGGAAGCAACCCAACCTGACATGCTACAATCCTGGAGATAAATTGCAGATAAATGGTCTTTTCAGAGGCATAAAGACGATTTCCAGGAATAGGATAAATCTATCCAATGGATCATTATTGGGGTTGCTTCTAAATTCACTTTTTGATTGGCTTACACAGATAACAAACAAATAAATATGAGGGTTCTACAATTTACATCATTAGCATTTTGTGGCTGCCAGAGAAGTTTGATTTTGATGCCAAGGACTCCATGGCACCTTAAAAAATGATGAAACTGGTGAACCAACATCTGGCAGGACTACCGACACTAGTATCCAGGAAAGATTCTTTGGCAAAATCAGAACTTGAACCACAGGGGGCGGAGAGGCCCTGAAAGCAAGCTGTTTCAAGTAACTGCTTATTGCTCTAGCACCACCATCATGAAATGTTTTCACTGCTCAGGGCCAAACTGCACTGCCTAAAGATGTATGAGGGAATTAAATCTGCAGTCTCAAGTACTGGTAAAATAGTAATAATAATAATAATGCAGTTTTTGACTGCTTTAACAATTTCTGAATTTTCTGGGACACATCTATATTTTGTATGCATACTTCTATTAAGAAAAAATAGCAAAACAAAAACAGAAAGGAAAGGCAAGCAGGATTTCTAACTCGGTGGCCTGTTTCCACAGACTCCTGTGTCATTTTGAAAGCTAGGAGTAATTTCTTTCCTGTTAGGAGTCATGTGTGTTAAACACTTCACACGTATTACTTCGTTTTCTCTTCAAAACTACTAGTTAAGGTATCGAGTGTTCTCTCTCCCTTTTTGCAGTTAAAGACACAGAGCTTCCCTAAGAACAACTGACAAGTCAGGATTCAAACTCAGAAGCGTCTGAGTTTGAACCTGAAGTTTAATGCCTGCTTAGATACCTTCTGTTACCTAACATAGGTTCCATGATGGTACAGGCAGTGTGGCCCACTACCCTAGTTTATTGGAGACCCAGCAGACCTAGCATACATAGACCAGGAAAGTTGGTTAGCCATTCCAGGAGAATGCAAAAATCTTTTTATTTATTTATTTATTTTTATTGGAAAGTCAGATTTACAGAGAGCAGGAGATACAAAGATCTTCCATCCACTGGTTCACTTCCCAAATGGCTGCAACAGCTGCAATTAAGCCAATCTGAAGCCAGGAGCTTCGTCTGGGTCTCCCACATGTGTGCAGGGTGTCAAGGCCTTGGCCTGTCCTCCTCTGCCCTCCTGGGCCACAAGCAGGGAGCTGGAGGGAAAGTGGCACATCTGGTATACGAACCGGTGCCCATATGGGATCCTGGTGCATACAAGACAAGGACATTAGACACTAGGCTACCGTGCTGGCCCTGAGAATGCAAAAATCTTAAAGAAAGCTGCTATGGTAGTCGGTCACAAAACTTTTCAAGTGGTGGAATATTTATAGGATGCCATGGGACTAGGCTCTGAAAAAATTAAGTCCTCATTTCAACTTGATAACAGCCAGCTCTAAGATCTTCAGCAAGTTGGCTGACCCTCTGGATCTCAGCTCATCCCCTCCAGGAATCATGGTCAACCCATCCTCTGCATGGATTCATATTAGAATCACCTGAGAACTTTCTAAGACGCCCAGTCCCCAGCTGTCAGTCCTTTACTGAGATGCCTGCCTGCTTGTCAGGTGTACTACCTTCATTATAAACTTAGCGGGCTTACCACTACTGTCCCTCACGTCTGGATTTCTTCTTGTATGAAGGTAAGAGCGTCCAGCAACAGATCCCTGGTGATGTATTTGGCACCTGCCGTGGAGCACGAACAGGCCCGGGGGTAAGTTCTGAACAACCTCGCGCCGATAAATGCTACCCCCAGCCTTTCCCCTGCCTTCCCCGTTTATGACAGCCAAAGTCTCTATTTCATGGAGACAGAGGCTTGCCTGCTTTGTCGTGGTAACTCAGCCACTTTGGCCTGTCCCTGCTCTAGTTCTTCCAAAGTCTCTTTGCCACACTCGTGCAGGAGGAGTAGCCTGCAAGAGGCCACAGCCCTCTACTCTCTCACACTCTCTCGACTCTCCCTTGCTTGTCTGCCCAGGCTAGCAAATGCTCACTAGCCTGTCTCCCTTTGTACCAAATGGTAAATGGAGGAAATCGCGAGTCTGTTTAGCAGCCAAGGCCCAGTGCCTGGTCTTAGTCGGCCTTGCCTACTGCAGGGGACCACATGCCTCTTTCCCCTTTTTGATGAGTGTGTTGATAACATGGTTCTTTTGTACTGTTCATGTGGCCACCATCAAACCCCTGCATAGCCATCTGCTCCCGCTGGCTCCTAAGGCTTTTTAGGCTAGTGAGAGTAGACTCCCCCCCCCCCCCCCCGCCAGCCTTTCTGACCCAACAGGTTCCCATTTTCTTTCTTGTGAAATCATGGAACTTTCTCTTTCCATCTGTTTAAAGATCTCTGTGTCCTATGGTTGGGGTCACCATGGGCCTTGTTCAACTTGGTAAACCAAGGGCTCTGTAATCATGGCCCTCCGTGGCAGGTCCTGAGGCCTGAAAAGACAAAAGTCTGAAACGTTTCTGTATAACCATAAATGGAAACAGCTGAGTTATCGTGAACACCTCTTTTAAGTGTTGTTATCCACTGATAGTTCTCTGAAAATATTTGTGGTTACATTTATGGAAATATGTCTTAACAAAACATGGCTGGTTCTTGACAAGTGTTTCATCTCATAGGCTTAAGGACACTGATTCATACACTAGTTCTTTTAATCAAGGGTTTTCTACTGTTGCAACTGATCTAGATAATGAGAATTTTATGTATCTCGGGCAAGGTTTCATGTGTTTTTCTGTTATTGTTGGGCTGTGATTACTTGGGAGAAATGAGTTAACATTATCTGCCTCTTTTTGATGGTGGGTCTTAATTGTGATTAGATCTGGGCCACAGCTCTGGTTAAAGTGCTGAGGTTAAATGTTCATGGTCAGCCTATTTTTATTTTGGCCACATGAAAATGCTTTAGATTTGGAATTATAAGCTGAATCTTTTAAGTTTGGGGCTTCCGGTTGGATCCCTGGAGCTCTCGGAGCCTGAGAGTCTCAGCGTGGTGCAGTTAAGAGACGTTGAGTTAATTTACATGATGCCAGCTGTATTGCAAGGTTATAAAAGGATGGTGGCTTACGTTGTGCCTGTACAGAGGTCCAGTGTTTTGCTTGCTGGGATTGGTCTCTGTTAATAGAATGCGATCTGAGTTGATTCTGTGCCCCACGGCTTTTTAAAAAATCGGATACAGATTGTCTTATGCATTTTGTCCATCTTGTGTTGGTGAAGAGTATTGGAAATGTATCTTGTTTCCTTAATTGCCAGCTTTTGCCAGGGCCCACTTGACTCACACAGGCAGTTGGCATCTCTCATCCTTGCTCATCACCTTCATCCCCTCCAGGCACCTGGGTGTCCTGGCACGAAGGGTGAAACCCTGTATTTGCAGTCGGGGTGATATACCCCTCGGAGGCCTTGACCCCTGAGCAGGACAGCCACACCTCAGATGCAGAGTTACTGAGCAGGTGTGCGCTGTGTGCAGGAGCACGTATTATCCTCTCCACAGCTGATGGAAATAAAAGAAAGATAATGAAAGGGGAGTTGGGTTGCACCCAGGCCAGCAGAATTATCGTTCAGACTCTCTGACTTTAAAGAGGAGGTCACGGCATGGAACAGCCATGCATTGCAGGGTCAAAAAATACATCTGGGAAGGCCCAGCCAAAAATATAAAAATTTAAAAATATAAAAATATAAAAAAAAAAAGTCCTGCTGGGCCTCCTCTTTGTCCTGGCTCTCCCTTTTACACTCTCAAAAAAAAATCCCACCCCACCCTGGACTAACAGAATCTCTGTATGTCTAGTGTTGGGGCAATGGATTTGCTGCAAGCACTGAAGTACACATCTCCCAATTCCTTGGAGAGCAAAAAGACAAGGATTGATATTTATAGAACAAGTTATATATAACTGTAAGCCTATATATTGTGTACACATGTGAGGGTAATATTTAAAAATTCACATAAAATGGAATTAAAATTTATTTGGAGGCAAAAATGTTTTGACATCCATGTATACTTTGTTCATAATAACATATTTTTTCCTTGAACCTGAAGACCGTTCACATGCATAAATTTAAAAAGATTTTTTGTGCAAAAATCAACTTATATTTTAATCCTACTTCCCCCACAAACTTGTTCAAGTAGCCTCGCATATGTTGTATAGTAAGCTATTTAGGGAGAGAACAGGAGAGAGAAAGGCACCCTGAAGAAAATGTAATTCAAGTGTGGTAGGAGTCTGGGAAGATCTCATTGGCTGTCAGAAGAACAAAGGAGGAGAATTAGGCAGGGACAGAGCAGGTGACGAACTTTCTGGTCAAAAGGAGCAGATCCAACCTGCTTGTTTAGTTCCATATATGTAATAATACATACACACATACCTTGTCACTCTTAGTGCAACGGGCGTTTGTGCACGGGCACGGATGAATGACTCATTTGAAGACTCTGAGTTAGGAAGGAAAGCTGAAATACTGGCTACACTAGGAGAGGATCCACAGCCACCAGAACGAGCAGGTCATGTTAAGTGTTTCAGGTTTTAGCTCCAGTACAGTAGCAACAGCAAGCCAGAAGCCAGGGAAGGGTTGAGGTGGGGGAGTTAGACATACAGAGCTGTCATTTGTTTTTTGTTTTGTTTTTTTTTTTTTTTTAAAGATTTATTTTTATTATTTTTTATTGGAAAGGCGGATATACAGAGAGGAGATACAGAGAGGAAGATCTTCCATCCGATGATTCACTCCCCAAGCGAGCCGCAACGGGTCGATACTATGCCAATCCGAAGCCAGGAGCCTCTTCCGGGTCTCTCACGCGGGTGCAGGGTCCCAAAGCCCTGGGCCGTCCCAAAGCTTTGGGCCGCCCTAAAGCTTTGGGCCGTCCTCGACTGCTTTCCCAGGCCACAGGCAGGGAGCTGGAAGGGAAGCCGGGCTGCCGGGATTAGAACCGGCGCCCACATGGGATCCCGGGCGTGCAAGGCGAGGACTTAACCACTTGCGCCACCGCGCCGGGCCCTGTCATTTGTTTTTAAAAGTTTATTTTATTTGTATTTGAGAGGCAGAATTACAGAGAGGAGAGACAGAGATTTTCCATCCACTGATTCCCTAATCAGATGACCACAACAGTTAGACCTGGGCTGGTTTGAAGCCAAAAGCCAGGATCCAGGAGCTTCTTCTGGGTCTCCCAACTGGGTGCAGGGGCCCAGGGACCTGAGCCACCCTCTGCTGCTTTCTCAGACCACCAACAGGGGATGGATCAGAAAGGGAGCATCTGGGACATACATTGGTTCCCCCATAGCATACCAGCACTGCACGCAGGAGATCAGCCTGTTATGGCACAGTGCCAGCCCTCAGAATTGTCTTTTTGAAAAATCACTGGTACTTAAGCATGGAGAGCAGTTTGGATGGGATATAAAGTAAGGAGGGAAATGATTACAAAGCTGTTATAATAAACTAAAGCAAGGTTTTATTTCTTGATGATACCAAATTTTAAAAAAGAATTCTGGGTATCTATAGAGCCTACAGGAACAGGAGACAAATGGCGTGATAGGAAGCAAGTGGCTTAGTTCATGAAAAGCCAGGAAATAGTTTTCCAGGACATTTGGATAAGTGAGTGCCACTGATTTAAGAATTCATGTTCTCTTCTACCTGCATTTTCTTCTGCCTCCACTCTTCCTATCCCCCAGAAGAGCATACAGTTATCACTCCAGCCTGCCGATCCTCTTCTCTCTCCCTTTATATCTCCTCTTCCTTGCCCTGATGTGTCTGTTTCACAGCTTAGGGTGGCATTCAATCTTGGAGCTCCCATTTTCTCTCCTTGCCCAACTCCCTGTTGTCCACTAGAGCATGGTTAGAAGAACACAGGGATTGTACAGGGGTGTCCAGCCATTGAGGTCTTAGCTGTCTGTGTCCTGGTTGAGTGATTAGTCTGCTGGCCTTGGTCCACTTCTTAATGGGGTAAGTGCCAGCGTCACTAAACCGTCATGTCCATTGGCACTAATTACCAGCCTTTCAGGAAGCAACTTGATCCCAAGGCCCAGGACTGAAAGGTCAACAGGAAGTTAGACTTCTACTCACAGCTCCCAGGGTGGTCCCTGGCCTCTGACCACACAGAGAACAAGGGCTGGAGGGCAACAGAGCTTTGGGCCTGTCTGTCTGTAAACCGAGTATTTCTTGAGAAGTTAGCCATAGGCCAACAATCTTCTGCTCAAGTGTGCTCAACTTCCTTCCCCGTCAGAGTCCCATAATGACGCTGCCCACCCTTCACCCTCAACCTCAACACCATCTTGGGCAAGGAGATAGGAGAAGGAGGCCCACACTCACCCAGGTGTGTGTGGATGGTACCCACATCTCCAGGCAGGAATGACTTAGCTGTCACCCAAAAGACCATAAATCAAACTAGCCCTGAGTCGAAGGCAGCTTTCAAGGAGACAAGTACCTTTGCATGTATCTTTGCTTTGGTTTCCATGATACCTTGGCAGGGGACACAGGGCAGGTGTTTTTCGCCCCATTGGATAGCTGCATAATAGAAGCCAAGGAAGTTGGTGATTGGCACAAGACCCCACAGCCATTTTGTGGTAGATCTGGGTGCCCAAGAGAACTTACTAGGGAGAACAAGTGAAATCACATGTGCCAAAATATTTGAAAATTGGAAATAGTCTACCAATATATAGAACGTCTGTTTATTGTTTCCTGAAGGTAGAAAGCTAACTACCACAAACCCAGCGACTTAAAACCACAAACTGTTCTCTCACAGTTTGGGA